TAGCATGCATATTCCTGCAACGATATTTACTAAAGATGCCGATCAACGTCTATTCGTCATGGTTGCATCAGCAGCTCTTAAATGTAGTACATCCCGCACATGTCATTCATCCAAGGGAAAAAAATCCCTGATCGCATGATAGGCAGCAGCAGTACTGTCATTCCGCGATTACTAAAATGAAGAATAGCAAAACATAACCCGGGCAAACTATAGGCCTGTGTTATCATGATCAATTTTACTGCCAGTGTCAGTGTCGCAACGTTTGTTTTGGAGCGAATTCAGCCCCTATACCAATAGAGAATATTATTTGTGTGGTAAAAAAATCCTTACTGTTATGAGTTCCAATCTGGCTTTAGGGATCAAAATTTTCACTGAACACGAAGCTTTAATCCATATGCTAACTTATTACTCGTAATGAGTCGCGCAAACGAAATCTAATGGTATGGTTTTATTAGATCTTCCAAAGCTTTTTTGAGTTGATCGAATGTTCACCCGGTTGCATAACAAATTCTTACTAGCCAATGCTTAAAAACTATCGGTAATGGCTATTAGGACGATTAAATGGTTCGGGTGCTTATTCTCTGGAGATGCAATAATGGATGCTAGGACGCGTACCTTCTCTATAGGACCCTATTGCTGTGGAGTACCAAGGCCACTCGATTTTGGCGTCTTCTGTTATTTCTGATTAGTATACTTAATGACATGGCAAGGCCAGTTAAGTCAATGCTTTATTACATGCTGACGATTCGGGCGCCTTTAGTAGTTACAGAGACAGAGGTACAGGCCTTCGGAGAATTAAGTAGAGCAATTGCATTCCCATTAATAAATGGCTCTAATGTATTAATTTATCTTGCATCTTGGAAACTGACGTTTTATTTTTGGTTTGGAACTAAACCAAAATCAGCGGATAATCCAAACTGCGATCAGATGTTAATGTCGCCGTCGGCATTGCCCCACGATGAAATACAGTTAGTATCTGGTAATTGAGCTGGAAACACTATGAGTGGTGAGGATAACGGGAATTAGGTTTTTAAAAAGATTACATAGATTTGAAATTTCTTTCCCAGAAAACAGCTAAGTATTACACGGCATGTAAAGGAATTACTAGTTTTGCCCTAATTCATGTCACTTTCGACTATGGCAGAGCATACTCCGGCTACAGCGCTCTCACAAGCGCACAAGGGCAGCTGCAAGTGTGTCAAAATAAAGCTAGTAGATGCGGGACAGTCGGACTTGGTTCCGCAACTAGGGTTCTAGAGCCACATAGGTGGCTAGAGGTTCAATGCTGTAAAGTGGGTACCTGTAGGGTTTAGGGTAGTGCACTGATGTCAATGGTTGTTTTACTTTACATAATCTCGGCCCACAGTATTATGATCAGCAGTTTATCGTTACGTCGGAGTCCTAGTTTCGATACCAAGGGGGAAGGATTGGAGGACTGTCTCTTTTTAAACGAGGGTGGGGAGAGGCAGCTGGGAGAACTTTTTATTTTACTGCATTGAAAAGTGGAATCTGTACCAAGAGCAAGGTTAGGACAAATGCTCTGTTATTCTAGTTTTATAGTATAGTGGTGTAGAGAATGGATGAATGGGTGAGTCTATTAAGGAAGGAGGAGTATGTTTTTCAGTATAAAGCAATGTAGGTTGAGTTAGGATAAGAAATGGTTTAGTACGTCTTGTGCAGGGTTGCTACGCATTGTATGACGTTAAAATACAAATTGTATATTTCAATAGTTGTTCTTGATAGTAGCTACAATTGCTTAGATTCAATGGAATGGCATTAGCAAACAAGCGATCCCAATGTTAAAGTGTTGCTAGTCATGCTTTTTGATGTATAATGCCGTTGGTATACAAATTTATTAATTTCAATATTTTTATCCCCTGTGGTGAAAGTGAGGTGGCAGAGGGTGTATTGGGTGGGTGGATATGGATGGATAGGTTGGTCTTATTCAATAAATAAAATAAATAATGGGATGCGATGGCATGGATGGATAGGTCGTGGAATTGGATGGTATTACTATGGTGGATGGTTATGATGGTATGGTATGGATGCGTGGTGGATGTATGATGCATGCTGCATGGCGGTGATGCGAATAGTGCGGTGGATGGATGCCGGCATGAATGGTATGGACGGGTTCTTTGGTCGTGTGCGGTGTGATGTTTTTATGTGGTATGGATGGTGTTTTCGGTATGAGATTTGAGGACGTACGTACGCACGACGGACGGCACGTACGTAGTACGTAATCGTTACGTATGTATGTATGCTATGTATGTTATGTATGTATGTATGTATGTATGTATGTATTGTATGTATGTATGCCATTCATTGCAGATGGATGGCATTCCGTATGGGCCTGGTATGGGAGTGGATGAGATGGATGACTGGACTGACGTCGGACCGCGTGATGATGGATGGAATGGACGACGGAACGGAAAGGCGACGGACGTACGTAGTAGTTATGTATGCAGCTGCTTCATTGTATGGATGGATGCGCATGATGCATGGATGGTGGTATGGCATGGATGGTTGGATGGTACTGGATGGCATGGTATGGATGCGGATGGATGCGATGGATGGATGGATGGTATTGCGCCATGGGTATGGATGGATGGTCATGGATGGATGGCATGGTAATGGATGGACCTGGGATGGGTGCGGTGTACCGTTTGTTTATCTTGCGCACGGACGCACGGACGTGGTGGATGGATAGATAAATAGATGGATTGATTGATGGATGGACGTGTGGATGGATATATAGATGGATTGATGAGTTGATAGCTTGTTAGATAGATAAAGCGCAACATATTCTTTCAATCGTATGACCTTGATCGACGTCAAACTCTGTCGTTATTTTGTTATATAGTCATTTAGACTCTAAAGAGTTACTACCACAAAGTTAGGAGATTACTAGATGTAGATATATAGACATGATTGTGTGAAGTGGAGAACTGGACCGTCTCTACGTGACACAGTTCCCCGGTACTACCCATTGTGGGTTCTACGCCACAGAGTTGAGATAGCCATAGTAATGAACTACTATAGTTCAGACTGATAGTATAGTACAGTGATATATGTCTTTATCAGGTTCCAAACATATGATATTCTATAATGATAATCACATATGTGTTGCTTTTACATAGGCAGAGAAACACATCGCGTTTCTGCGTTTAAAATTTTGACGAATAACTTAGGAAATAAAACACGTAGACACACGCACATAAAAAAAACGACGACGAGAGAGTAAATTATGATCAATTATTTTATTTTCCAATTGAGTGGAAAATCTGACATGATGACAAGACATCACAAAGATATATATATTTATATAGTGTTTGCGATGCAAATGCATGTAGACTAAAGGCGAAGTCACGTGATAGCAGCACAGATCAAATTAAATTATTTCTATCTGTATAGCTCGCAAACCAGGGACTTACGCGATTACAACGGACTCCGATTCACCCATCCTCCCGACCGACCGGGAGCAAAACAGTTGTACCGGAGGAGAGCAACCGGAAACCAGAGTCCACGAGAAAGCCCTGGCACAAACCCTGATCTAACTCCGTTCGGGAAAAAAATGGGGGCGTCGCGAGGGCATCTTTTACCGACAGCACACACAAAAAACGTTTCCTTGGAAACGCAGTCGTCCGCTCGCCGAGAGATCACGCGATCTCTCCCGTGGCCGCGCAAACGAACACCAAATGCGCTTGCGACAATCTACGATGGTGCCAACGTCGGGTCGGCACGCAGCCAGCGACACCTAGCGGAGCCGACACGTACTACTATCACTGCCGTTAGACGCCACACCGACTCTCTCCATCAACTATTTGATTCGTCTCGTCTATGAATCTAAGAACGGGCGGTAGATGGCGCTACGAGGGCGACTTCCGCCGGAACCCGACAAGGGGGTGTGTGTGGCGGTGGTTCGCAAACCAATGGGATGGGTTTCTTACAACCAACTAGAGCTAGGCTACCGACAAAATTCAATGCGAATACAGACACTATAATATTCAACTATAACCCGGGTTGTATGCTACAATCTGCATTATTTTGTACACAAGCTACGTACGATATTCGCAGTGGGGGGCGGGGACTGCGTGGGGAGTGCGCATGTGCAGCAGACGCTGCTGCCTGGATACGCGATGTGTCTGTGATTTATGCACCGTCTTCTCCCAACGCGACATCATCATCATCACCATCCTCATCATCGTCATCATCACCACACGATGAGACGTTACGCGTCACACGTTCCTCCTCCTCCTCCTCCTCCTCCTCGTCTGCCCACACATGACGTCATCAATCTTGTAGTATAACGACGGCCCGTAAGACAATATTTACAACTATCTCTCTATCTCTCGCGCGCGCGCGCCCTCTTTCGCATGTCTCAATGTGAATCAATGGTAACGAACGTATTTCATCGGTAATATACGACACTCGATCGGTGTGTGGAAGGCCCACCCCACCCCCACGTCCTCTCGCGTACGTACGACCCCCACGACACACGCGAGTAGGTGGTGGGGTGTGTGGGAGGGAGCCAGTGAGGTTGGGCGT